TTTTTTTTTTTTTTTTTTATGTGCGGCCCGGTACCAAATGACCCGCGGACCGATACCGGCCCGAGGCCCCAGAGAAAACACTAAAGTGACGATAAAAAAGGAAGAGAACAGTTTGATTTGAAGCTCCAACTAAAAATCCAGATTTATTGCCAGTTTTATTTAGGTTTAATTTGGATCATCCAGCTTCAGATACAATCAATAAAGCTCTTCCAGAAGTTCTTGCAGAATGAATCCTTCAAAGCAGGATCTAAGTTTAAGCTGCAGTCTGGTTGCTAAGTGTTGAACAGAGTAATGGAAGATCTGCTGGTTCCTCTGGTTGGACTACAGAAAAATCAGATAAAACTTTGAAGTAAAGGGTTAGACATCAAGGTCATTTTAGAAAAGCCTTTTACTAAACTATACTGAGCATAAATAGATTATTTTGTTTATTCATTTAAAGCTGTTTTAGCACAGGTACTTTTAATTTGACAGTTCACAAACAGGACATGGGTTTGACAGAGATTAAGAAGAGATGTGATATGTAACTTTTACTGTTTTTCAAGGATGCACTTTTAAAAAAAGATGAAATTGTCCAGAGAGCTGTTCCAAACTAAATTTATGTTTGTTTTAAAGTTGTGTAAAAAAAAAAAGGCAAATAAAATCTGTCAAAGTCTAAGTCATAAGGTTCTAGAGGCTGGGACTCAGAACATGACATCTATATGTTCCACTGTCCATCTGCTACACCTGGCTGTGACATTAGCATTTATTTTATTTTGAAAGTCAAAGAGTGAATATTTTTCCCCTACTTGTCTCTCCAGTTGCCGTTCCACTCCACCTGACCCCATGGGTTTCTGATTCTGACCTCTGAAGTTTACCTGGAAAACAAAGATTATATATATATTACCCCCCTTTGTTAGCTTTAAAATGAAAATATTGTCCCTAGATTTCCTGAAATATAATTCAATAATTTACTAATTGGCTTTATCTTTAAAAAATTTGATCCAGTAATTAGTCAAACAATTTTGGAGTTAATGCATTTGTCCTTCATTTTAAGAGGTAAGTATGATTATCTGCACATCAGATAATTTATTTTATTTTAAGAGCTAAAATCTTATTCTCACAAATGATCATTTTTCTTAACCACTTAAATGAAGTACAATTAAACTTATTACAATAAAATCTATTTTTACTTCTTTGCATGCAGATAATGATAAATATGAAGATTGTTAAAACCCAAAGGCATTCAATCCTGTATCTAATAAAGAATTAAAGAATTAAAGTGCTAAATAATCCCAGTATTTAGTTTATTAGTATCTAGTCTAGTTTTGAGATTGATAAACTAGAAAATGATTCCAGATTTTTGTTCTAATTTTGATTAGACTTTTTTAAAAAGACAGAAGCTGCTCTTACTTAGTATATCAACCTTAAAGAGGATCAAAAAGAGTTTTTACTGGATGTAAGATTGTAAGACTTGGTTAGATGGACAATTTTTGCAGTGTTTGAACCTAGTTTGACTGTTCTGTGAATGTGGTAGACTGATCACAGTCAAAGTAAACATTTTAACCAAGCTGACATGTTGGGTAGGTCGCTTTTTGCC